TTATGTATTTATATATATTTATGGTTTTAATGTTTTGTGTGAGTCGCCCAGAGTTCCCCCAATGGGGGGAGATGGGCAGGGGAGAAATTTAAGAAATAAATGAATATCCCATATTCTATCTTGCAGATAGATCCTGTTATTTCAAAAAAGCTTTATTAATGCTTATAGGAATATGTTTCATTAGGATGCCATACAGAGATCTAAAATGAATAATTTGATTTTATTTATTATAATGCCCATACTACCTAGCATCCCATTTGTTGTTTTCTCCCCCCACAATGTAGTGTGCCCTTTCATGGAACTGTTGTTAACAAATGAGAAAGATTACTTTAATTCCCTTTTATAAATCTAGGTGTAACACTAAAAAATCCTCAGAAGTTAAACTCCAATAAATTAGTCTTCACTAGTAGAAAGTAAAATTTGATAGGCAAATTTTTAAAATTCGCAGGATTAGTTTGATAAAACAGGTTTATTGTATTTTTATAGGCAGAAAGGAATTAACTTCCTCCTAAACAGGACTGTTTTAATCTAATAGTTCCTGGTGGAAGTGGAGGGACAAGGATCAATTGTTTAAAATATCAATTAAATTTAGAGCTAAAGAGGAGAGTATTGAGAAAGATTAGAAGAGAAAGTTGGGATTGCTGGGTTTAACTTCTGAAAATAGAGTTAAACATATTTTAAAATTACTGTAAAATCTCAAGAAAACACCACCTGTGTTTTTGCAGCACAGCTGCAGCATTCAGTTTTGTCCCCTCAACTTTTGAACATCTACATCAGTGTTGTCCACAGCAGGCCACTTTAAGATGAGTGGACTTCCCCATGCTGGCTGGGGAATTCTGGGAGTTGAAGTCCACTTATCTTAAAGTGGCCAAGTTTGGACAACACTGATCTACATAAAACTACTTCATTAGTCCTTCATTAGTTTGGGCTGCGTTCAGTACACAGTGCAGCAGCCTGCCTGCTAATGGCAGTGGCTGTCAGGAATACATTCCACCTGTGATGCAGGCCCTGCTCTGGTCCCCAGTAGGGTTCCAGGAGCAATTCACAGTGCTTTTTATGAATGGTAAAGCACTAAGTGACTTGGTGTTGAGATACCTCAGGACAGGCTTTTTCAGCTAGCATCAACCTAAGACACAAATCCCAAGAAAATTTGTTTGTGATTCCTCGCTTCCATGAAATTAGGACTGAAATTAGAGGATGTTTCTTCATCATGGCCTCCACACTATGGGATTTGACTTGCCCCATACTCACAGCTTTTCAGAAGCTGGTTAAGACAGCTTTGCCAGAGTGCTCTTAGACTTAGTTAAGGTGATGTCATCTTATTTTTCTTAGTGTGAGCTGCTCTGTTTTTAGATCGTATACCAATTGTTATTGACTTCTGATTATTATCTTTTACTGTGGATTTTTAAAAATCTTTTCTGCCATGTATGACTTATGCTTGTTTTTGCATACCACCAAGAGTCTTATGGTTATTATTTAATAAAATAATAATAGGAACAACATAGCATTTTAATTTAATATTATTTTCCCCCCAAACAGTTAAATCATCATTTCCTAATTTGAAAAAATGAGAAGCAGTAGGTATGTGAGTCTCCCCAATTTATTTGCTGGATCTCTTGAACTGTGTGTGCCAGCAGATTGATAATTCATATCTTAGCCTATTAAGCAGTTGTACAATGGTTTACCATGTCAAAATCCAGAAGGATATTATTGCCAAATCCAAAATTCTGCTGTCATATTAATAAGACACTTGATGTTTTCAGAAATATAGGATTACAGGTAGTCCTCACTTAACGACTATCCTGTTTAGCAACCATTCAAAGTTATGATGGGGCTGAAAAAGTAACTCCTCACACTTATAACTGTTGCAGCATCCCCGGAGTCATGTGTTTGAAATTAGGGCACATTGTAACCAGCGGGCGTTTGTGACTGTTGCAGTGTCCCACGTCATGTGATTCCACTTGTGCACTTCACAGCCGGCTTCCAACAAGCAGAGTCAGCGGAGAAGCCAGCGATAAAATCGCAAGTCGGGGTCACGTGATGTCTTATTTAACAGCTGCATTACTTAGTGAAGGAGTGGCCAGTCCCAATTGTGGTTGTTAAGCAAGAACTACATGATATGTCAATCATAGTGTTTATTTTAAGTGACAGCATACAACATAATTGTATTGTTAAATTAATATCTTTTGGGTATTTCATAGGTACAGCTGCATTAGAAGAAGATGCTCAGATTCTAAAAGTCATTGAAGCTTACTGCACAAGTGCCAAAACACGTCAAACATTAAACTCAAGTAAGTTTTTAAAAAATATGAGTAGAAAAATGTAAAATGTTATCTTAGCCATTTAGCAAGTAATTGCTAAAAATGTTTTTTACTGGTGCCAGTCGCTTGTATGGTCTGAAAAGTAAGTTGTAAGTGATGAAAATAGTACATAAATAAATTCATTAGGAATTTGGGCAAGTGTGCGTTTGTAATGTCCTCTGATACTTTGATCCTTTAGAAATGCTTTTGCAATTCCCAGATTTAGCAATAGGAAATGTGTTGCATTGGCCACACGGCTAGGATATCTTACTGGATTTCTTGAATAATACATGCTAACAACTTAGTTTTGGATGTTCACGATGAAATTTGCAGTCCATACACCATCTCATTAGACCATTCAGTTGAACTTACTGGAAGGTTATTAGGCTTTATTGTTTACTTCTCTGACTCTAAAAAATGTTCTTGCAAACATTTTAATACCTAAGGCATAGTTTCTTTTTGGTTTAGAATTGGAGGCATTCTTTACTTGACACTCAGAAAGGTAGGTATGCATTTTCTTGATCGGCTCACAAAAGACACCATTTTTATTGTGAGACAGCTGAATGAATGCCACTGTTGACATCATGTCTTTCCCTTAGTCCTATAAGCCAGAATTCAGACACTTTCACCCTGTAGTGAGAGTGTTTCACAAGCACTTTCTCCTAACCTAGTGTTCTCCAGATATGTTGAATGAATTCTCATAATGTTTGAGTAGTATGGTTAGTGACATTGCTTTAGCATTATGGGAATTGAATCCAGTAAATATGGAGGACAACAGGTTGGGAAGGCTTTTCTAGGACCTTCTCTCACCTCTCTACTGCATCATGGATTTTTTGAGCAGTTCCTACCTACTGAAAAGAGGTCACTACCACAGAAAAGAAATAGAGCTCCCAACATGGATAATGTTTCTGCTGAGAATATGTCAGGGTTTTTTTTGGGGGGGGGGGAGTTGCTTTAAACTGAGAATCACCGCCCTGAACATTTCTGTTCTAATCTAATGTTCTCAGTTTTAAAATAATTATGGATTATTAATTTAATTATACCACATGTTGACGATAATGTCATCACTGAAGTTGCCAAACCCAGCCTTAAATATGTCTTTCCTATAGCAAGATTTAAGTAAAGGTAGTTTCCTTTGAATAAAGCTCAAATCTTAGGCTTGTCCATGTAATTTTCTTGACAGTAATGCAAAAGTAGTTTCCTTTGCCTTCTTACTGGATTTTGCTTTTAACTTTTATGGTCTCCCCTGTTGGTTTCTCAACCAAGTACTAACTGGGTATGACCCTGCTTAGCTTTTCAAGATTGGTCAGTGTTGCCACTTAGCTAGACACGTGCAAGATTTCAGATAGCACAGATAGTGAATAAATCTTGCTTGAACGATTGGGTTGTTTTTATTCATTTAAGCCAAATCTTCCTTGTAATAGTAAATACTAAGTGCTTGATATGGTTTACATTTAAAAATAGTTTTTTTTAAAAAATGATCCACATGAACACAGAATGGTAGGCCACTATTCTGGGGAATTTCGGCTTACTACATATGAGCTGCATACTGATGTCCCCCTGCTGAACGTTCCTGAAGTGCTTTAATTTTATTATCTAACTTGAAAACTTGGCTTAGACGCTAGAATTTCTAAATTGTTAGCAACCCCTACCATACAGTTGTGACTTGTACAAAGTACAGCACACCAAGGTTCAAGGTTTAGTTAGCATCCTTAATTGCAGAGGGGCAGCCCTCAAGTTACATAGTTTTGATGACCCTGTGGAGGGTCAGGGAGTTCTACCCACTTCCTACTTGTTGTTTCAGCATTTCAGTTAGCCATGGTGAACCAACAATCTGGATCAGGCTCTCTGCATTGCATTAGTGAATATGTTCTTGTGGGTATGTTTGTGCAAGAAGGGAGGAATAGCAGATATGTCTCTAATTGGCTTCCAAGGATTCATCAGCCACCAGTGCAGCCTTTTATTCATTCTTTTTTTTTTTAAAAGTCCTAACTCTAACTTTTGTGCTAAACAAACAATTTTTGATTTGTTTATCTGCTCAAGCTAGTGGGAGCAGCCAGGTGAGAGTGAACAAGCTGTATTCATTAGCACTCGGCTCATTCATGGTAAGTCAGAGTTCCCCAAAATCTGGCTTACTGTGGCTGTTTCTATCAAAAATGGTAATGAGACATATGATAGAAAAATTGATAGCAAATACTGCTTTTATTATAGCTATTAATAGTACCTTTTTATTCTAGTTTTTTTTTTTTTACATTTTGTATATTGAGCAAAGCTGCTATTTTCAGTTACTCAGATACATGCTCAACTTTCACTGTGTCTTGGGGACCCAGGTTATTTTAATCTTAAACAAGGCTGCAATGGTGGAGATCCTCTATTGTAAGTAAAGCATTGCACCTAACAGGACAATCTGCCCGCATGCATAACATGTACCTAAGGAAGAGAATACTCTTCTTGATTTGATTCAGTTTGCACAGTTTTGCCATTAATGATAAAGGTGGTTGGCAGTTAGTTTATTTATCCTTCAGAATAGTCAAGGTAGTTCAATATAGGAAGAAATCAGTACAGACATTGATGGGCTTTTTGTCCTCTAAATCTCCCAAATGCTTATTTTGTTAGATTTTGGACAATATGCATTGTTGACAATAATTTGTGTGCTAATATTTGATTGACAGTTAACTGTCATTCTTTTTGTTTCTTGGAACATCAATTAAAGCTCTTTTGCGTAAAGCTCTTTTTAATATGGCTAGAACCTTGATAAAAAGGTTTGTACTGTTTGGAGCTATAGGCAGGCATGATTGGTATTTAGTGCAGTAAAATTGTCAGTGATGTTTTTGTGTCTTCTCGTATGGGCCTTTTTACAGTTCTGTTTTAAATCAGACATTGTCATATAATTTGATGCTAGCCCTACAATTAACTGAAAGCTATTATGATTCTGTAGATGATTGTACTGAGTGGGACAAGATAAATTGGCAATGCTTCAAATGGTACAACTGTGCTAAGTTGGTGCTTGTCATTTAAATATATTTATATATACAAATATGTATAAGGTGAGAGAAGTCTTATTTGAGCATATCCTTTTCAGTTCATGCAAATGTGTGCTTACTGAGACACAAAACTAGTGCAAAATGCTTTTTGCTGTTTTTCCCTTTCTATGTATATTTTATAAGTATACATAGTGCAAGAAATTTCATTGCATACATCAAAAAATCTACTGCTTTCATTTGTGTTTCTCTGCAATGGAAAATGGTAATAGCAAATAGTTGCACGGCTTCTTTTTTCAAGACTGCTGATTTTGTTAAAATTATTATTTTTAAAATCTGCCCACATATAATTTAACAGACCTTCACAAAAGCAAGTAGAGTTGGCCTTGTGCTTTAGGAAGGTTGGCTGGTCTGTATGTAATAGTTCCTAAATACTTAACTGTAACTTTAAGAGACTGGCCATTGTAAAAACCTTCATCAAGCCCAGGAGATTAGATCGTGTTTCATATCCTTTAAGAAATGCACTGATTTGTCTCCAGTGTCTCTTCACCTCTGTGTTCACATTCTGCCTGTTCCTCATAGTGCAGATCTGGCAATTCTGCTAGTAGCATCATCCATTTATCATTTTGGAGGTGCTGCTGGGAAATGCAAGTTCGGCATGACTGGAGGAACCATAAGAGGTAGGACAGAAGGTATTTTTAAATTTTCATATGGAGAAACGTGATTTGGAAAATAACTTTTGAGAGAGGAGATTTGGGAAGAAGAATTCCTAGCAGCTGAGTTTTCTTTCTTTTCTTCTATTTTTTTGTGATACCCTGTCTTTAACTCTCAGTTCTAGGTGGACAAGACCACAAAGCCATTCAGTTGTATGCAAAAGTTTAGGTACCCCTGGTCAAACTGTACAATTCAATGAATCCCTAAGGGAACAGAAGTTGATACAGCTCTCCACTGTAAGAAGTTGATCACATCTTCCTGTGAAATTGAATGCCTATTATGGGCACTTGTTTACTGATTCAGAATGAGAAAACAGTGAATATGGTAAATGCAAAGCTTTGCACACCCTTTCTGTCAGTTTTCAAATGTATGTTATAGTCAGCTAATAGTCTTTCTATTCTTGCTTTTAGACTTTCTTTTTACTGTTCCTCACAGAACTTTTCTAGCTCAAAAATGTTCTTAGGTCTCTTATGTGCACTGCATGTTTGAGATTTGCCCAGAGATTTTCAGTCACACATTTATCTTCCTTTCCTGTAAGTGCTTCATGGTTGATCTGGTATAGAGGAATGCATAGATAACCTTGAAGAAGACACGCAGGAGCATTAAGGAAAAATAAGAGAAAACTGAATCCTGGGAAAGGAGAAGGTTTGAGAAGGAAACTCAAAACAACCCTGCCTTGAGTCTGTTAGGTGTTAGAGGAAGCAGAGGGAAATTCTGGCATGCTTTCAAGATTCTGTAATTATACTCTGCAATAATAAGTAGCATTCTGTAATCCTTGCAATGTCTGTTTCCTGACTTGGCCTACCTTTAAAGACTGACAGTATGTCTTGGAACATTGTCTTGCTAAATTATCCAACCTCTTTTTATTTTCAAGACTCTAGAAAGATTGTATTTGGCTACCAGAAATATTTGGAAGCTGTTATTTCTGCCAAAGGAGGTGTTACAAAGTAATGTCTAGAAAGACATCCAAACTTCTGTAACTGTCACAATCACTATTTTATTTTGAATAATAAATATACATTGAGATTTTTAGAAATATGTCATTATTACTTTGTTACATGGAGAGCTGTGTCAGCTTTAAGGAGTCATACAATTTGACTGTGATGCCTAAACCTCTGCATATAACTGTATCTCTATGGGCCTTTTCACAAGATGAGAGTATTGTGCCCTACCTGTATATATTCTGCTTCTTTGAACACAGTCCACACATCTTATTTTCTGAGTTTCACCATTTGGGTGGGACAGAAGAAATATTTTTGTATGGGAAATATGCCATTCACTGCGGTTAAAATTGTCAAATAGAACATGATTGCACATGCCACTAGTCTCAGTATTATTTTTAAAGAGATGTTACAGTTTTTTCAAATTAAAAAATTCTTTGATTAGTTTATTGTATATTCAAGATGTTGATGTTAATTAGCTGTTTGTATCCTGTGCTATAGTTCTCCAGCACAGGAGAGTTTATTTAGCATACTGTAGAGGTTAACGGATCCCTCAACACCTTCTCCTGGACGTATCCATCCATGTAATTGTTTTTGGCAACAATAGTGTTGTGCATTGCCTTCTACTGAGGTGTTTTTGAATATCTCAAAACCAACAGTCCTGGACTACCATGAAGATATCCCATCCAAATATCACTAGTTACTAGGAGCTACCACCCTTCTACTTGTTTTATGAACTGTTTTCTAGCCTTTCCTGTTTTTTGTTTATTCTCAGAACCTTCCCTGCACTTCTTGATTTTGGCATACTTCACTTTATAAGGGAGTGGAGAGGGATAGTATAGCCAATATGCATATTTTCTCTCCCTGCAACAGGACGGTCTTTTTCCTTCATTACATGTGGACAATATGTGTCTTCACAGAACAGAAAATTTCAAGATTTCAAGTGTAGGCCTATTATATGAGCCTATTAACTGATCATGTGAAAAGGCCTTTATATAATATTGAAAGGATTGGAAAAACAGTACGGAAATCCAGTTCCATTATGCTCAGTGGTAGTTTCTCCTAAATACCACTGTGAATTGTCTGGTTTTGTTTCACCCAGTACAGAGATCCAAGTGTGCTGTCAAATGCACACCATGTTTTGGCATGTACAGTTTTATCTCCTGTAGGAGGGACAGGGAAATCTAGAGTGGTCTCAGAACTTTTGGCCCTGTTCGCATGTGCAGTCTAGGGAAGGGTGGATTGGGAGCCTAAGGAGAATAGCAAGGCAATTCTATGTGTTAAGCTGCTTATTGAGCACATCTCCCCATATGACTTACAATTTTAACTACTGCAAACCTTCTTTGATGGGGAATTCATATCTGTGTCATTAAGAGGCTGCAACTATATGGATAATGCCTGGGTACAACTGTTTTCAAAGAGTATCGGACCACTGACTGTATATGCAAATTGGGCCTAAGTGTCTTATGTCTTAACTTTCACTGAATCAAGCTGATTAATATTAGCTACTTACATAAATAGTTTTCAGTTTCTGTTGGCATTTTTCAGTTTGAGAATTGTACTTTACATCAGTTGCACATTCTCCTTTTTTAAACAAAAAGTTCCTGAACCAGTTAAATTTTTTTCTCCCATTCAACTAATCTGGAATATTTCTATAAAAAATCAGTACTGAATGAGAGTTCACATGTAATTTCTGATAGGAGTTTTGTGTAGGATGGCAGAATGCTAACAACTCCTAGTCACTAATTTCCTTTTTCATAAGGACATTCTTCTAGTCCTTCCAGGGAATCATTCCAGATATAGTTGTATGGAGAAGGCTATGATCAAAATTGGCTTTTAAGGGGAAAATGTACTAAATATGGCTAAGTAGTAGATTTTTTTTAATCTGCTGTCCTCCAAATGTATTGCATTCCCAGTATCTGAAGCTGAGAGTTAGGGAAAGTTCATTCAGCGTTCCTGAGAATATTTTTTTTTTCCTTCTGGAAATGCCATCCAGCCAGCTTTAAGAATTCATTCAAAGGACTTTTTAAAAATTCTTAATTTCCCCCACTTTTTTTTTTTTTTTTAAAAACTTCATGTTAAAGTCATGGTTTCTTAGAACATTAAAAGGAACATGAAAGCAAATGTACATTCTAAGCAAGAAAGTCAAATTCAGAGGCTTCCCTTTTTTTTTTTTTTTAAAAACTTCATGTTAAAGTCATGGTTTCTTAGAACATTAAAAGGAACATGAAAGCAAATGTACATTCTAAGCAAGACAGTCAAATTCAGAGGCTTCCCTTTTTTTCTTCTTTAAATGTATGTGCTAAATATACTTTGTAGATAAAACCCAACCAAAATAGGGATTTAAAAGAGTTGGTGCTTTTTTAACAATATTTTCTCTTTTCCTTTTCTTCCCATCACCTTTTGCTTTTATTTTCATGTGTTTTGGTTGTGGCTTATCTGTATGTCCTCCTCCTCATCCCACCTCTGCCTGTCTCCATCCTCCCTTTCATTTCACCCATACATCCTTAGCATGGCAAGGCACTGACCTGATGCATAATCACGTCTTGGCTGATGATGACCAATCCAGTCTAGATTCCTTGGGTCGTCGCAGTAGCCTTTCTCGTTTGGAGCCTTCCGACCTCTCTGAAGACTCTGACTATGACAGTATATGGACAGCTCATAGTTACAGAATGGGCTCTACATCTCGTAAGAGCTGTTGCTCATATATCTCTCACCAGAACTAATGCACTTCTGAGCTTTTCTTAACAAATGCTTGTTGTATCACAGCTTGCTTTTCTTAGACGTTTTCTTGCAGTTCTTTGTCTCTTTTAACGTGATATTTTAACAATCTTTTGAAAAAACCTCTGATACACCTTTTACATTCATGGAATCTTTTTATATTAAGATTCAAGCATTGATATGTAGCTATGAATAGTTTACTCTTTTTAAGTATAGCTACAGTACTCTTCTTCCCCCCTCCCACCAATTCTTACAATATATACTTGTATCTTGAAACAGTACTTGTGCCATTCACATGAAAATTATTAAGCCTTACAGTGTTTAGGTTCATACATGTTTTAAACAAAAAAAATAACCTAGAGTAAACTAAACACAGCAGCAAAAAAAAAAAAAAAAACTCACAGAAACCAAAACTGCCAGAAATGAGAACATCAGACTTTGATATGTATGGTAAATGTCTATGTTAATTTTTAAAACAACAAGCAGATTTAGTCTATTACTAATTGTTACTGCATCATTCTAGCTACATTTCTTAAACTTTTGGAAGAATCACATATATATGCCTCAAAAACTGAGCAAGTGAATTAAGCGTGGAAAAGTTCAGGATTGCAAAACACTGTTCTGAGAGCTATTAGAGCAAGTTGAGTTTTGCTATGATTTTGGTAGAGTATTTAAAAATCACACAATTCAAGAAATTGTGCAGCCGACTCCACACAAAATAACACGCTAGAACATTTGCAAGTTTCTGTGAGTTGCAATATTATGTTGAGCTGTAGCTGGAATGTTAAATACAGATTTTAAGACGTGTATAATAATAAATCATAGGTCACTTACTGTAATACAGGAGATAGGCTAATTTCTGTCTAAAGATTAGCAAGTAATAAATGTCCTTGGGGAAAAAAGAAAGCCCCAAGTGTCCAGATTTTTGAAGTGCCAAAGTCATATGTCCCTACTGGCTTTTTAAGCCCATTCTGTTAAAATTAAACAGTAGGGGTGTATTTTCACAGTTTGCTTTGCCTGTGAAATGTAAATATAACTGTATTAATTTCTCTTTAAGCACACTTTTAAAAGCCATCTAAATTTTCATCAGTAATACTCTCGCAAAGTTTATGCAATGTTTTCTGTGTTCAGCTCATTCACAGAAGCTCTTAATATTTCACAGGAGGTTTGCTGCATAAAACTATTGCCAGGAATCATTTTAGAAGAGAAAGCAATCTAAAAGTATTAAAATTGGTACTAAATATCCTCAAAACAACATTTCTCAAGAATACTGAATTTATCACTTTTTGGTTCAGCAATACTACTGCTTAAACAAATTTAATCAAACATTTCAGTTGTTACTGTTTGGCACACCCTAGAGCAGTGTTTCTCAACCTTGACAACTTTAAGGTGTGTGGACTTTAATTCCCAGAATCCTCCAGCTTGCTGGGGAATTCTGGGAGTTGAAGTCCACACACTTTAAAGTTGCCAAGGTTGAGAAACACTGCCCTAGAGGACTAGAATGTGACCAATCTTGAACCTGTATATTTGCATACAGTTTATACTGCTCAAAGACTGGACAGTTTATCGGTTAATAGAAGCAGATACTGGAGATGATATGCTGAAAAAGTAGATATAAAATTACTTGAATTTAATTCTACATGAACCATTTCATAAATGCACATTTTTCAATGAAAAACCTAAGGTAACATATTTACTTGCTAGCCATGAAATAATCAATCGATTAGTGAGTTGGGAGCTCATTTTGAGCTGCATTGCTAGAAATGAGATGGCCTGGAAGGTGGAATGCTGCTTGCTCTTTGATCTCACTTATGGGTTAAATAACCACCGCAGCCTTCAAAATGGCTTAATAGAATGGAGAGCTGTACCACTTCATGGCCCAAAGGAAGCTAAGAGCAGTTTAAGTTACTGTGACCCACAGAGATGAATCAACAACAGCAGTCCTTAGGGGCGTTGGCTTCTGTTTTGCCTTTCCCTGCAACTAAGGCAGCATTAAATTATTATGGATCTTTCAATAGGATATGGGATTAGGCTTCTGTTAGATTCTTAATCCTTTCCATTGGGGCTGGATTCCTTTTCAAATACAGTATCTCTCCATTACAAACACCTGAAAAGAAGCAATTTGAGTGTGAAAATGACTGGGGAAAGGAGTTAATGGCCTCCCTCACTGTTTTTCTGCTCAGACATATCTTTCCCTGCTGCTTTTCATACGTACAAAACATTAGGAATTACATGCATCTGCCGTACGAAATCTAGCTTCTACTAAGAAGACAGTGGACATGGGAATGTTTGTGTATCCCATGTAGGTGAACAATGTTTTGTAAGCCTCCTTAACTCTTTTATATTTTCAAAGCTCAGTATTCAGTTTTTTAATTTTAAAAAAAACAATATGAATAATACTGAACTATAGGTCAATGCTGTCATTAATCAAAAGTGTTTTGGTTTTGGAAGTATTTTTTTTACAGTGGGTAAACTCTTTTTAATACAGTCTATTGCTTTTATGATGTATTACAAATTTGAAATACTGTGGCTGCTCTAAAACTTTCTATTCTTTTTCAGAATGATGTTTAACTATTCCAAATGTTCAAATTCTGATAATTTCCCACTATTAATTCCTACAAGAACTGTGAACCATCATCATAATGATGGGATCTTTACAATAGTTTTCTTCAGTGTAACTATGCTGTTAAAATTCCCTATTGGTGTTTTTGCTGTTGGAGACTGCTAGCTGTTTTGATGGATTTGAAGTTCTAATGCAACAGCATTAAAAAAAAACTTTCCAGTGTTAAAATTGTTGTATTCAGCCCGAATTTTTAGTGATTATTTTTGTGGAACTTGAATGATAATACTGGGTACTTTATGTTATGAAATGTACAGTTAGTATTATAATGAAGGAGTTCAGAATTAGAATGTAGGTGTGAACCATTGTGGGTCCTTTTCACATGGCTTAAATGGTATTACCATTCAATTAGTATTTACTATAATAATTTTAAGCTATATTAATTTTGTGTTTTGTGTAATCTTGCCAAAACACAATATATTGTGTATATAGTGACATAAAAATATATGTATATATAAAGAGAGAGAGAGAGGCTTTGCATTTTATTTGTGAATGAGAAAAGTAAGTTACAGACTTGAAAGCAAATATAGATGTATATCTAAATGTGCACTGTATTGTACAGTTTGTATTTAATTGTGTGTGGCAGCTTATAACAGCTATGTGTTTTGCTCTTTTTTTAAAAGGTACCTGTTATGTACATTTTAATAAATTTTGTATTTACTAGTTCATGCTTTTAATATTGAAGTTATTATGCCAAAAAGAGAGAGGGAGAGAGAGAGATAAGGCAGACTTGTTTAAAATATTGTTTTCTTAAAATAATCCTTTGTTAGGTGACCAGAGTGGAAACCAAACAATAAAAAATTTAATTTAGTACCTGAATATACCTAAGTAGCTGCCTTTTTATATTTTGAGGGATTATTTCATGTTGAAACAGATTTTTGTTGGATTTTACCTTTTTAGTTTTCTGAAAATCTGTTATTTACAAAATTAATCTCTGATATTGATTTCATTCAAATGCATTAGCAAAACAAGGTAAATCTTTCCTGTTCCCTCCCCTTAGGGAGCTGCAAAAACATGAAATGCTTCCATTCTAAATTAAGAATTTTTTTAGCATTTTGTTTAAACTGTAAAACTAACTATGGCTAATTTAACCATGGTTAGTGAAAACAAGCCTGCTTGATAAATTGATTTTATATTTGCTTCTTTCTGCTAATAAAGCTAAGATGAATCACAGCTCATCTCTGTCTAGATAAAATTGTTGAGTCAGAAAAAGAAAAATGGGTATGTGGCCAGAGAAAAGCTAGGGGTTTTTTTGTTAGTCCAAACAAGTGTATTGAACATCTCATATGGAAGACTTATACACATTTGTAAGTCATAGGTCAGTTCTTGAAGTGGGAGACATTTATATGGTGTCCAGGGGATATATATATTTCCTGACAGCTGTCTCAGTAGTATTAATGGGAGAAGCAGAACTGCATTCACAGTGCTGTTCCAAATGAGGGAGGGCATATATTGTATGGTAGTATCATCCTAGCATCTATGAGAAATTGGATTGGAGCATGTCTATAAATGGGCTCTTAATATTTGTAAGATTATCAGCACGGTACCTGGATTTGTAAAATAATTACTGCCTATATTGTCGTTCGTAAACTTTTTATTTGTGTGAACTAAGATACTGCCCAAGATTCAGATATGCAGACGTTCAGATACCCTGCTGTGTTGGTGGCCCATCTGTACTAATCATGATTTGTTTTTTGTTTGTTTTATGTGAGCATCATCAGTTAGGGATTTTGGTTCAGGTCTAAAGTATTATTGTTCATTCCCAACATTAAAAGAATGTAACTTCCTCTGAGAATTTATTTTTTGAATTGTCAAAGTATTAGGAGCTATTATTGTAAATTTACAATATTAGCAGTGTATATTGTTATGATGCTGCAATCATTTGTATATTTAATTAGTAATTAACCCTATCAAATGACAATGTTTATGAGTAAGCATGCATATGATCAGGCATTGAATTTTATTAACTTTTATTGAGTCTATGCTCATTTTTCATTCTTAGTAATAAAGAATATTGGTAATCTTGTTTGGCTTAAAATGGTCTCCAGTATATCTGTTTAGCTAACATGGATATTTATAGTATTTTCACAAGAAAATTTTTATAGTTAAAAATTGAAGATGGTTGATTGGAAGTATAAATGAAACAGCTAGGTAGAATAAAATGAACAACCGAAAAACAAGGTTGTGCAAATAGGTGTTTAAAATACTAATCAAAAAAATTTACTCAGATGTAGATGCAGATCTCAAAGTTTAATTGCTACAGTTACTTTTTGTAGCAGCTTTAAATAAACCAAATTCGTATATTGAACATTTGCTGGTGAAATTGTTTGAGAATTACATACCACGA